ATGTGTGGACTCAAGAGTGGAAGGTTATGTCTTTTGGAGGTTTTGGGAGAGTTCTGATAGCTGATCTGAGAAACTGTGGAATCCTATTTGGTATCTCATAGATGCACTCCTCACAGCAGGCCTAATTCGGTATTGCAGGTGAGAGTCAGGGCAACGTGGGTGATCAGGTGATGAGTAATCTAAGATGCTCACATGTGGTGGTGTCATATCATCCATGATTGCAATCATAGAAAATGACACAATCAAATAACGTTAGGCAAATTTCTCCCTTTACAAATCAGCACAAACAAAATACCTTTGATGGGTAACATTTGCCTGTACAATTGTTGGCCAAGCCTTCTTGACTCGTTGTTGTAGCACAGTACCCATGGCGGACATGGAGGCATCTGTAACCAGTGCAAGTGTTGCAGATGGATCAGGGCGCACTAGTAAAGTGGCGTGTGACAGACTCTCCTTGCACTCTTCGAATTCCTTGAGAAGCTCCGGCATCCAGGTGATGGGGTGGGAGCCCTTGGTCCTGGGACTGGAGAGAATGTTGTGCAGTTAGTTGCCTGGGTGCCCACTGCTTGCAGCAGAAACCGCCCATAGAAGTTCAGCATGCCAAGAAATTGACGGAGATCACTGGTGGTCTTGCGAGGGTGGCAATCCTGGAGGTGGGTCACCTGTTCTTCCAAGGAATGCCATCTTATGCATATCACCAGGATGGACGGGAATTTCGCCATCACCACGCCATTCGGCCTATCTGAGTTCCCCTTCACGACTTTTGGCTTACATAACACCACCCAGACGTTTCAATGCTTCATGGACAACATTCTGTGGGGACTCTACTTCTCTTTTGCCTACGTGACGGAATTGTCTTCTCCCAGTCACTCGAAGAGCACGAACAGCACCTACAGGCTCTCTTCAACCTACTTCATAGGTACAGGATCATCAACCCGGTAAAGTGCGTCTTCAGAGCAGCCGAGGTTACCTTCCTCGGTTACAAGGTGTCTACCGAGGGTTCCCTCCCACTGGAAAAACGAGTGACCCATCTCCACAACTACTACCCTCCCAAGACCGCCAGTCAGCGCCATCGATTTCTGGGCATGCTGAACTTCTATAGGTGATTTCTGCTACAAGCAGCAGCCACCCAGGAGCCACTGCACAATGTTCTCTCTCTGGTCCCAGGGTCAAGGACTCCCACCCCATCACCTGGACGCCAGAGCTTTTCAAGGCATTCAAAGAGTGCAAGGCGAGTCTGTTACCCGGCACTCTACTAGCGAACACTGATCCATCCATGCCACTTGCACTCTGAATTCATTACAGATGCCTCCATGTCCGCCATCGGTGCTGTGCTACAAGTCAAGAACACCTGGCCAACAATTGTACAGGCAAATATTACCCATCAAAGGTATTTTGTTTGTGCTGATTTGTAAAGGGAGAAATTTGTTTGACGTCATTTCATCTACATGTCACTTTCTATGATTGCAATCATGGATGATATGACACCACCACATGTGAGCATCTTAGATTACTCATCACCTGATCACCCACGTTGTCCTGACTCTCACCTGCAATACCCAATTAGGCCTGCTGTGAGGAGTGCATCTATGAGATACCAAACATGATTCCACAGTTTCTCAGATCAGCTATCAGAACTCTCCCAAAACCTCCCAAAGACATAACCTTCCACTCGAGTCCACACATGGGACTGTGTTCACATCGGCCATGTACCCTAAGAGAACATGTCTGGTTTCAACCTGAATAGACAAGCACTATCCAGACACATTATTATTATTATTATTATTATTATTATAGGGGGGGGTTCCCCATGCACCGCGACCAGTTGATCTATTGTACGTCCCCCTTTGATATTCTACCAGTCGCCGTACCCTACCGGTACTGGTGCGTGCTATTAGCCCCATTCAGCCAACGAGGTCGGCCTTCGGTACCTAATACTTCCCCCATCTACCAGAGGCATTGAAAACTGCTTGGGCAGGAAACTTTTTGCCTAATTTAGCTCAGAGGTCTCCTAGAGGCATGATCTTTTACATGCCGTAAATTTACGACACGGCACCCACAGCTTAAAGCCCCTCCCAGACGACTTGTTCCCTGAATTTTTCCATCCTTTAACAATTCCATGACCTCCACCGGGTTTGAACCCGCGTACCTTGAGTCATGAGGTGGGAACGTTACCCCTAGACTACGGAGGCCACTTCAAGACACCTTAGAAGCAGTAATCCAGTCAGTCAGGACAGTACATAAAGGTTGCAACCTTCCAGGCCCCAAGGGCAATTTCCAATTCGGACTGGAGGTTTGACAAAGATTAAGAGAGTTGCAGAAATGGATAGATGTCAGAACCGCTATGCAGCAACTGAAGACACTAGAAGAAATTCTAAATTGGATTGATATCAGGGCCATGCCATCGTGCATATTATTTATCCTCCTTGGATGCTAATGGTATCCCAACTTATTCTGTGTATGATTATGACCAGATAATGATCTGCGACACCCTATCAGCCAGGGTCTTTTCAATGTGGTATAATTATGTACTAGATGACTCCACTCCTGGAAAGGGTTCTGTTGAACCTATGTCAGATTCCTGATCAATCTCTAAGTGGCGTGGGAAATTCCGCATACAGGGCCTTTTGTATGTATGAGCCAATGTGCATCTCTCTGATGTTAGATAGATTTGAAGATATCAGAAATGTTGGTGAATTCTTTCATTGGATCAAAGGGGAATTTGAAGAAGCTGAAAGAAAATACATGAGAAGTCGTGGGGTATCTAGAGACCACTGAGCTAACAAGTGAACATCTTGCTGAGATGCATGGTTTATTTCGTCATTGGGGTCACCCCACTCTCCATGAAGACGTGGGAAATGAGAAGACACGAGTCACAGACGAAACACGATCGGTTCCAAAACTTTCAACTCAGAGGAAAATGGTGGTATTATTACACAGACAATTCTATGTATCGTTTCTAAATATGCATGTTAGACCACAAAAAAATAAATATCATCCAATATCTCAGAAACAGGCCAATATACAAGCTACTGCTAACATGAAGCTTAATACGATTTGACAAGGAATTTGATTGAGTTAAGATTGTAACGTGGACTATGTGGAGCTAATGAATGATAAAACATTAGCTCCATTAAGGTCAGAGGTTAGCACTACATATAACCCAGAGACTTGGATACAATCCTGGGAAACCAAACATTAAGTAGATGGGCATTGGAAGAAGTGTTGAATTGGCCCACAATTGATGCTAAATCCATCTGAGAGAGAATGCAGAGAAGGGAGTGGAAAATCATCACGATCCACGCAAAACAGAGGGTAGCTCAAAGAAGCCCCTCATTTGTCTGCCATGATGGTCTTCGAGATGAGAGTTTATTTCTGTGTGATAAAGATGAATATCCCAAAGACCACATTTAAGTACTTCCCCCAGCAAACTATGATGCTGAATGAGTCAGAGCTCATTAGAAGACTTCTCTTTTTTTACTGACCCAGAATAGTTTCTCAGTATCATGAATTGCATTGACTTTTGTAGCTGGAACCTTGGGCATAGAAAACCACTAACACAACCCTTCTTCAGGTTTCTGGACAAACTCTTTGGCACACCAGGACTTTTCTCCAACATCCGTTTTTTAGCAATGCATTGTGACGTTTGTGACGTATTTGCCCTATTCAGGACAACCCCCTCCCCATGGTGACGTAACAGGGGACACCGCGGTTACTACATGGCAACAGGTGACTCCCTGCAGAGACTGTTACTTGGCAATCAGTAAACATGACATCACGCAACAGTGGTAGCTATCACGTAGCTGTTTTCTGTGTTGTCAGTACGGAAGCTACATAACGAGGAGTATTTGTCAGTGTAACCAGAGTTACTAGAGAGTGAGTGTGGATTGTGAAGTCGCCCAACGCAGCTGAATTGTAGTAGCTGCAAAAGTCAGTCAGTATTCGGGGTATCCAGTATGAATTGAAGTCCAGCAGCTACAAGTTGAGTTGTATCTAGTGCATAGAAGTAACTACAGCAAGAGAAGTTTTGTGATACTGCAGATGGCAGTAGTTGTAAAATTATAAATTGTGTAATTGTAAGAGCAAGTGTGGAATAAATTCACTAAACCCAAAATGGCATGAAGTTATTTGTTGCATTACATATCCAACACGTGACAGTATGGTTGTGTTCGCTTCCCATCTGATCCCACCACCTACACTGTTCAACTTTCCATGGGGGAACCCAGCACCATGTAATGAACTGTGGTACAGACATACTGGTGGCTTTGAAGGTCTACGCCAGAAAGGAGGGACACTCGTAACAATTGGTTCATTCTTCTATGTTGAGCAATTCATTAGAACGAAAATCTACATCCCATGTTACAGTTATTTAGGGCACTGTGACAACTGTTTAGGTCATGTTGTGTGATGACTGTGAAAGATAAATTGGGAGAGAGGGGAGTGAGAAAATGGCCACGATATTTTTAAGTTACTAATCCAGCATATAATTGGCAGGATTAAGGAAAATAATGAAAAACTTCAGTCATGATCGCTGGCTGTCATCAGGATTTGCACTTGAAAATAAATAAAATCATGCAGGATTCTTTAGTAGCAAACAATAGCCCTGCAACGTGAACAATCAGCATTTCTAAATATCAGAACACAAACTATGCCAGTTCAGGAGTAACAACCTTGAGAGAACACATTGTGTATAACATCCTGTCCTGTCCTTTTGATGAGAAGGTGCATACATTCATGTTCAAATGAGACAGGAGCATAAATGACCATTCTCTACCTTTCCTTCAACAAATATGTGCACGTACTTGCATTTGCCAGGATGCACATCATCTGTGATGTCCTGTCTTTTGTTAACTGATGAAATTAATGTTAAGATTGAAGAATATTATCCGGTCCAGAAAACCGAAATTAACGCCCGTGGCAATTCGTTGTGCTGACCACACACCACCATCCATCCACAAAGGTTGGCACTAACTTCGCCCACAAGAGGCAGTCGCCCGGTCGGTATAGTTCACTTGCGGACTAAAAGGCATTTTTTTTTTAAATATTTTCTATAATGTGACAATATGTAGGACAGTAGAAGCTTACAGATGTTTCAGAGTAACATACTGCTTCCTCTTTCAGGATCAAAGGGTAAGCCAAGCAAGCACACAGCACTCTGCTTACCAGACCACATCACCCAGCAATTTCTTCAGTCACCATAATGAGAACCTCAAATATCACATAATGTGAGATTGCAAACTCTTTGGATTTTTGGATCATGTAATACATAGGCACAAAACAGACCATCTGCATCAATCAACCTGCTGTAGACATGGTAATACAAAATAATGTGGCAATATTAACACTGAAAGGGTGTCTGGAATTCCTACTTATTCAGAACTGTATGATGATGGTTAATGACTTGATTAAATGAGTATTTGTGTACCAAATCTGATCACATTTACTGGAATAATAAAAAGGTGGGGGGGCGGGCTGACTCCAAATATTCAGTCTGCTAGAAAGATTACTAATTAAACGGTTTTTAAGAAATACTATAGAAACTCATGATATTACACAGACTCTTGAGCCCGATGATATTCATATACACTGCCTCGTTCAATGGACAAGGGCTGTTTCTTCTGACTGGTGTCTTCTTCAGCTGATGTCATAACATTTGGGCACCCATATCCACCACCACCAGGTGTCAGCAGTCGGAATATATCCTGCAATACATTAAGAAAATATGTTCTACAGCATGCGGTCAGAACTCAGCACCTACAACAACTTCAAATCATGACACATACAAATCTCAGAATTATGAAATTTATATTTGAAAAAAAAAAATCTTCATTTTTCTTAATAACACTATCATTTATTGTTACACTAAATCAAGCAATTGTGGCTTAATTCAAGGTACTAACCCAAAATTAGACTGAAGGGGATGAGTCAAACTATGAAAATATCCAAAACACAGTGGTGTCACCCAGCAGATTTGCTTCAGTTCAGTATAACCTGTTCGTAAAAATTTGGCAAATGACAGAACAAGTTCTTAGAAAACTTGTAAAAGCATAAGGCAAAATTAAATTGGAACATGTTTACTATATAGATAAATCGTTGAACCACATGACAGACAGACATGTTTTAATGCATCAGTCCTCCATCATAGCAATAAATGCAGAGCATGGAAATGTACAGACAATCTTTATACAGAAACTAAAAGGGTTTATTTCTAAATTTACTGTTAACAGAAAACATAAACTCTGTGCTGTGTTCTTTTAAAAGTACAGAACTTTGCCTTAAGTGTTTCAGAAGCAGCTTTGTGAACCAGATTATTTACTATAATTGAAGGACAAGTGCAGGGTTTTTTGGTTTATAACAACACATGACACTTAACTCAACATTACATGCCACAGGTAGACGTCAGGATGTAACATTAGTAAAAGCATATTTAATAATTACAGAACATGTAAGAATCATTTATCTAATGAAAACAATAACAGAAAACAGAAAACCTACTTCTATCATTATCCAATAAGAAACTGTCAAAGCTATTTCATCAATTTTATACAAGAAATGTATGGGATTACTAACAGCACATTTGATTCAACATGTTATCAATAACAACAGCCTACTTAATACAGAGAACGAATCAAACACAAATTTACTGTCACTAACTTTTTTTTTATTGCTAGTGGGGTGGGACTAAGTCCCTTGTACTGCAGTCACTTCTGGCCTATTGTACCAGCCCCAGATGATAGGTGAGGGTGATTGTGGAGCAATTGGTGGAATGAAGATTGGCAGGGGAAACCAAAGTAATCGGAGAAAACCTGCCCCAGCGCCACTTTGTCCACCACAAATCCCACTTGACCAGATCCGGGATCGAACCTGGGCCACCACGGTGGGAAGCCAGTGACTAACCACTTGAGCTATGGCACGGCCTCACTATTTAACTTAGCAGAGCTTGAAAGCTGGCCTAGCATCTCTCCCTGGTTGGCCTTGAGCCGTTAAGCAGTATCATAAAATTTGTAATTCTTATAAATGATTTGTGACACTTAATGAACAAGAGAGATTTGCTGAAAACACAGATTCCCCAAATAACTAAACAAGCAAATAATATGATGGTTTTTATAGGTAGTTCAGCAGAAGTTGTAAGAGTTTTCAGTGACAAACAAAACAGCAACTGACAGAAAAAAAAAGTTGTGAAGTGAGAATATTTCTCATTTCTCATTCAGGAAGTTCTCTAGCTTGCTATAGCATCCTACTTTACCTACATCAAATAATTATATTAAAAGAATTACAGAGGAATTATGAATCTTTTTTTTTTCAGTTTAGTACGTCACAAAATGCTATTTACACACACAACCTCCCTGACAATAGTTTTCCATACCTATCTGAGATTTTCAACATGTGAGTTGTGATGCTGCCTCACATGGGTTTTAGAATTGAAGTACACATTTATAATACACTGGAAAGATTAAAATATTGTGACATGGATGGCGCGTGAACTCTCGTCTCGCGAGTGACTTCACATACCCCCACTCCTTCCACCAGTACGCAACGTTCGGTGAACACACACCCCACCACCGTGGTGACGTGGCAGAGCAGCAGCTGCAGCAGGCAACCACTGCCACAGTGACATAACAAGGAATACAGTGGTTACTACCCAGCTGTAAACAACTCCCGACAGCGTTGCCAGCAACACTTGTAAACACTGCGTCAGGCAACAGCGGTACTTATCACATAACTGTTTTCTGTGTTGTCCGTGCAGAGGCTAAATAAGGCGCAGCGAACACTATTCAGTAGTGAGTAACCAGAGTTGCAGGCTAGCCGCCACCGGAGACAGTTGAATGGATTCACCGAGATGTAGTTGAACAGCAATTGAGATAGTGAATTGTATAAGATTAAGATTGTATTACTGTGAATTGTACAAGTGTGCAGCGAATGTGCAATAAATTCACTATATCAAATAAGGCATGAAGTTACTTGTCGCTGAGATGTAGTTGAACAGCAATTGAGATAGTGAATTGTATAAGATTAAGATTGTATTACTGTGAATTGTACAAGTGTGCAGCGAATGTGCAATAAATTCACTATATCAAAAAAGGCATGAAGTTACTTGTCGCGTGACATAAACCGAACACATGACAATATGTTGCCTATTGCACTGAAACGTTCTCTGAATTATGTTTCAATAAAACACACAGACATTTTTGAACTATGACATTTGTTTAAACACAAAAGAGATCCTAGGTATTCTTAAATAATGTCAATTTTGAATGGCTAATAAAAGTGGTCAAGAAGGTTGAGACTGAAGTTAACCTGTTGCTGATAAATGGGGTGATGCCATGGCCAACAAGGATAGACTAAAATAAATGGTAATTAGTAGGGCCCGGATTTCTATGACATGTCATATTTTTTTCCTAGGGTTTATTTCTATTTTTAAATGTAATTATGCATGTTTCCAGCCAATCTTATTGAAATTATGTCGTTTTTATTGTGCATATAAATGCATATTTTAGAGTTTTATTGGTTTTACAGCATATTGCATATGCTGTAAAACCAAGCATATTTGTATACTGACTTTATATATCTGGAAACTTCAATCACTTTATAAATAGATTAGAAACCATCCTAAATGTACTGCATAGTTCAAAAGTTGAATTTATAATTTGTGGTGATATAAATATAAACTATCTCATCGACAGTAATAGGAATCTAAATTTAGACTCTTTGTTATCATCTTACAATCTCTCCAGTACTGTTAACTTTCCCACAAGAGTTCAAAATAATTCTAGTTCAGCGACAGATAATAT